AGACAATGTAGTGCATTTGTGTGTGTGTTCATTTGGAAATAATAACATTGACAACTGCTTGAGAGATGGAGGGGTTGCGAGAAGGAGAGGGACTCATTTTGAGCATGTACTCACTAACGAGCTGTATTGTGCTCCGGGCGATGTGTGTGATAGCTTGAAGCTTCTGCTGGCGTGCGTGCGCGTGTGTGTGCGCGAGTGTCTAAGCGTGTGCATGCCCACTTATTGGCGGCTGAGGGATCTTAACAATCTCTCATTTTTTTCCTAATTTTTATATGCGACTCTCCTATCTTCCTTCATCTCCCGTTCTCTTTCATTTCTTCCTGTGCTTAAAGTCTCATCTCCTCTCAGCCTACTTCTTTGCCCCTCTCCGCCTCTTCCTTTCCCTTTCCCCTTCCTCTGTTTTCCTCCATTGTTTTCCCCCCTCTCAGACGCGGGTTCTGCTCCGTTACGGCCCCGAAAACCTCTCGTCGGCGCCGCCGTTTTGGAGTGCGATGCATTATCCATCTCCATTCCACTTTGTTCGCTCCACTTCACGTCGAGTAGCAGCAACTTAGGGAGCGGGCGCGGGCACGCGAGGGGGGCGCCACAATCCCATTAGCTTTAATATTTCAGCGCCGTCACAATGCTTGCCAGCAGCCTTGTCACCGCCCGCTCCCTCCCCCCCCCCCGGGGGACGTGGATCCCGGATCGGCCTGCCGTGTCCTCACCACCAAAGTCGCCCTCACAGCTAAACTTCCCAACTCCCAGGGGCCCCACCAGCATCCCGCCCGCCACTGCCCCTGCTGCCATCTCCAGGGGAGTGCACGGGAGAGGGGAAGGGGGAGAAAAGGAGGGCTGGGAGGAGGGGGAAAGGCGGAAGGATGGCGAGGCGAGGCGAGGCCGTGGGAGGGGGGAATGAAAATAAGATGAGCAGGAGTGAGAGATACAGTACAAGAGAGAGGTTGTGTGGGTGGGCTATGGGGTGCTGATTAGGCCTTTGGTTTGAAGTGCTCAGCGGCTCTCCGCGGACGTGCACGCGCGCTCACACACGCGTGCACACACACCGGGGCTTCACATTGTTTTTATAAGTCATTTCGGCGGTGCGAAAGCTTCGGAGGTGTCGGGAGTTTAGCTATTCTCTTAGAAACGCCTTGCTCTCTGAGGAAGAATATTTCCTTTTTGTTCTAAAATGTATGCCTGTGATCGACAGCACGGGGCGATACGCTACATGTAAGAGCTCCCAGAGAGCCGGCGAGCATTTGTGTAGGAATTTATCTGCATCGCCCTATGTACGGACTCCGACTGACAATCTGTGATTTCCCCAGACCTGTGTTTATGTTCACCTGCTGCACATTTAAAAAAAAAAAAAAAAAGAAAAAACCCCCCGCCCTTTTATTCCTCCAAGGGTCGCCATGCTTTGGGTGCATTGGGGCTGTGAGAGGGCGCTCACAAACAGCATAAGTTATGTCCTGGGAGTCATAACTCATGCATGATCACTAAATGGAAACATCTGTTTTCCCCGCAACAATACAGCCAGAGCAGCTAAATCTTTCATGCCCCCCCCCCCCCATGCCCCCGATGCCGGTATATCCCCCCCTCACCAAGTCAAACAGCCCACACACACGAACGCGCAAAAAAAAAAACACATGGCAACACGTAGGCATGGCCGTCCTCCCGTGAATACAGCGAAAGAGGGGAGGCACTGAGGCGGAAATAAAGCACACAACACCTATCTCCCCAAACCTTCATTAAGCTGTGAAAGTGTGTGTGTGTGTGTGTGGGGTGTGTGCAGTCACTTGCAGCCACACTGGCACTCCTTCACGCCCTGATTAACATCCGGCCATGAAACATTGATGCAAATATATCTCCATTGTCTCGCAATGAAACATTCAGGTTCTCCTTCAGACTGATACATGTTCTCCGAGCTCATCCTCCATTCACACGGGCTTAACAGTCACTTTGGGAGTTTCTCCGCCACCTCAACAAGACAAGTATCTTGCAGCCCCCCCCCCCCCCCCCCCCATAACGCTTGACTTTCCTTTTTGATGCAAACCCCCGACGTTCTGCCATGCTTTAGCAGAGCTGAAGATCCCAGCGATGGGCCTCCAGTGTCTCCCTCCTGCTTTCCCCCGTTGACTACCATCAGCGTGAACCTTTTCCCGAAGCCTCCTAGTCATTTAAAGAAAATGTGATTTTTATTTTTTTTTAAACCTTTCCCGTTCATCTGTTCAAAGGTTTAAAGTTCAATATATTCACAGTGCAAAGCTGCAGAACAAAAGATCGGCCTTCAGCTGAGACAAAAAAACAAAACAAGAACATGCAGTTGTTTCCGTATGGTAGATAGCATATAAATGTTGAACAATGAGTGCAAATTTTGATTTAAAAGCAAAAACAGACTCTTAGTTCTTCCCCAAAGTCATGAAAATGAATACATAAAGGAATATATTGACGATAAACAGCCCAGAGGTCCACATCTGGAGGTTACAAGGGTTCGCTGGTAGAGTTCCAGACACCATTCACGCTTTGTTTCTATATACAGCGATACTCACTGTTAGAAACCTTGTCCAGACTAAATCAGTGATTGATCTGGTTTTGGAAATAATGAACATAAAAGGGAAAAAAAGAAAATTGGGACAGTCTGGCGGTCGCGACACCAAGCTGCCACGGTCAAACATTGTCGTTTCAAGTGAGACACAGCTCAACCGGCTGCGGAAATCTGTAGTTTGAAAAAAGTGTGACAGACAAACGTTTCAATCTGCCACTTTGTGGGCAATTTTTCAGCACAGAACCCATTTTCCCTCTCCAGTAGACAGATGGGATTTCTAATAAATCAAAAGACCAACATTTCCCCCCCAAAGATCCACAAAAAACGAGAACTTTCTCAATTCTCTATTGCCACCGAAATGCTTTCATACGCTTTTTCTTTTCGGCGGCGCCCAAAGCTTTTAGTTTAGTTTCTCAGTATTCTTGGAGATATTTTTTTTGTTCATAGACATTTTGGTTTT